TAATAAAAATCATATATTTCCCAATATAAACATATTTTTTCAAATGTATATAAACTATAAGAATTAAATTTTAAGTTGTAATTATATATAATTAATTGCATAATTGTAAACTTAATTGTATTATAAAACATTGTAATATTTGAATTTATTCGAAAAAATATGGTAAATTTGTTCGAAAATGAAGTATTGAAGATATTCTAATGTTACATATATTCCATAATCTTTGAACATACATTTTTTTGAACAAGTATAGGCCTACCATTAATGTAATGCTTATTGTTATAGTCCAATTGGATTTGATACTCTTGGGGCCAATCCAAATTGCCGGTGCACCGATATTAGTTTCCTTGTCGACCTACAATTTAAAAATATGATTAATATTGAAGTGATATAAAACTGTACGATTGAAATTTCGTATTAGTTTTATATATAATGTGATACCTGTTGGGCTAGTTTTTTAATTTGTATTATCTCGTTTTTTAGACGTTTCAAAGTTTTCTGCGTTTTCCTCAGTTCTTCTTCATATTCTATTCTTTTTTCAGAAGACAAAATGACATTTTCGTTTGCAGCTTTCAGCAAATTATTTTTAATGTACTGAAAACTAGAAGCTATCACACCAATCTGCTTTTTTGCATTTGTTAACGATATTACGCCGTCATAAATTCTGTAATCATTTATATACAATTATTATACGAATTATTTTGTTTCATATATTCCTATCAAAAAGATGTAAAAAAATATAACATACGTATATGAATCAGTTTTCTTAAGTTTGCCAAAACTGTTTAAAAGCCACCTTCTGCTATGAAATTTTTCAAGACTTTCTAAGAATTGATCTCTATGAATAGTAATATCTACTCCTAGGCGACAAAGATCATCTTCTGTCAATTGCAAAAAAGTTTTAATATCCATTCCTTGAAATAAATTGCCATATTTTTCCAAACCCATTCCATATAACATCACCGATACGTCATAATCTACAAGTTCTTTTTTTCTAGGATATAAATTTGGAAATAAATCTTTCCAAGTTGCTATCTCAGATATTTCGTAAAACGTTTGTATTTCTTCTTCATCTTCATTCAACAGAGCAGATATCTAGAAAATGAAAAATAAAAGAATTTACAGTATATTTGAAGTATAAAATTGAACGATGAGAAAGATATCAATTACCACTGAGAATCCTTTTGTATCTGCGATATCTTTGGCAGATAAATTGTATAAGTCTGTCAGTGAAGTAGTCGCATTATGTGCCAGAAGAATTTTGACGTTATCAGGTTTATTAGCTGAAGCGGCATACATCAATGCCTATAATTAGATCGAAATTTATATAGGAAAATCTTTAATACTTAATGATGTTGAACTTACCGATTTCCCATCGCTGTCGCAAGCATCAATGTTCTGTACATATTTTATAAGCTCGAAGACAAATTCCGCATCCTTTGACATACAGGCGTACATTAAAGCTGTTTCCCTGTAAAATTGTAATTGTCAGTCAAATTAAGTTAGTAATTATGCTAATAATTGTAATATCAGAGAGACATTAACTTCTCTGTTTTTTATTTATGGCATTAATTTTACTTGTGTTTATTTGTAATATTTGCATCCGCTTTCGCTCGTATTAAAAGTTCAAGGCATTTCATAGAATTTTCTGATGTTCCCTTTGTAGAATTGCACAATGCCATAAGGGGTGTAAATCCATCTATAATCCATTTGATTATAGAAACTTTATATGAAACTTAAAATAACGAATAAAATGACATCAATCCATACCTTTATGCTTATTCGGATTTGCACCATGTATCAAAAGATGCTCTACTATTTCTGTTTCCACCGATGAAATTGCATATAATAATAGAGTCCATCCAGTATACAGGAACTTATTAACATCATGTTCTTCTAAAAACATTCGGTGAACATTATCTATTAGTGTACATACATTTAATACAAAGGAGAGAGAAAGAAACATGAATCTGATTAACTCTCCAATAGCAATCTGGATCCTTTTTGTATAAGTAAAATTTTATTCTCAAATTTCACTCTCATTTTTGCTCAATCCAATTTTAATTAAAAATTTTATCATATAAGTTAAAAAACTTAATAACATAACAGAGATGAAAAGTAATTGTAAATTTTTTCTGAAAACCTAGAATAGTAAAAAACTGGACTGAATAAAAAATACCCAAATTGCAGAAATAGAAAGTAGGAAAATATATAAGATATAAAAATCTAAAAATATGCAAATAGAAGATTAATGCATAGGAACTTAATACATATTATATTCATTCTAAGAAGCCAGTAGATAGAGTAGTCCTAAGTCTTATCGGTAAATCGATGAAATTAGCAAACAACCAACTTGTATGACTAAAACTACTGATTTTCTTAAAATTGGCCAAATTCGATTTTAATTGGCTTAACAACTCACTGTACAATTTACTTGTAGATGCAAAAAATTATAGTCACCTATTTAAAAATGATTAAGACTTAGATTTCCAACTACTGACTCATTGTAGAATCAGCTTTATGCATATAACGTTTACGTTCAAGATATTCTTGTATCACTTTCAATTGCCCCATCATACATGCCTTCACGAGGCGTTCTTCGTAAATACGTTCCTCATTGTTTACCTCGGAATTGGTTTTCGTCTCTCCCTTCCATGAAGTATAATTATGTTTTTTGACGGTAGACTCTTTCTGTTTAAGAAACAAAGTAAGAAAAACCATATAATGAAACAAATGGTGCTTTCTAGCACAGTGATCAACAGTGATCATGTCATCTTCATTTAATGTTAACAAACACCAAGGATGTATCATCTGTGTCTCTGCTGGAAAGCACCCAAAATTTTACATGCACCTGTTAATCGTACCTTCTCGAGAGAGTAAAAGACGTCATCATCCTCATCGTCTTCCTCATCGGACATGCCGGCAGGCCTCAAACATGGGTACTTCGACATAGCTATCGAAATTACTATTGCTAGCAGTGCTAGCTGCGATTGAGAAGGTATAAAAGAAAACTCTTAGTCTTACGTTTACGTCAATTCCCTCGAGAGCAAAAGGCAATGAAAAAGATTAAATAATACTGAAAAAATACCACAAATTGGCGGCATAAACTGGTTGTCACGCGTGCGCCATATGTATGTTTACTTAAGATCACTTTTCTCTTTTTCTCTTCAACATAGAGAGAATAAGAAGAAAGATGAATCGTGCAAGAAGTCAGTTTCAGCTAAAAAAACAGGCCTCTAAACTGATCTAAACTCACGTTTGTTTACGAAATTCTGAACAGAAAACAAAGGGTGTCCGACATAAGCCAATCGATAGATGCGATCCGATTATTGTAGATTTTTCACCATCTCGTACTGATGTCTCGATATTGGAAATTTCGCGTGCCAATTGCCAAGCTAAGAGATGATCGAATGCAGTTTATATGTAATTTTGCAGAAGCGCACGTTGCGGTTAGAATGTGGCGGTGGCGCAAAATTATGATCTGCTATTATTATTTTATCCGGCTCTTTATATGTAATCAATCTACGTAGATAGATAGGTATCTGCTAAATAAGTTTAGTTAATTAAATAATTTTCATATAATAGCTAATGTTTAGTTGATTAGATAATTTTTCTCCTAATAGTTTCAGTTAAAATAATAAAGAAACAAATTAAATAAACCACTTTACGTGACTAAATCGATATTTATAGTTGGATCTTATATCTAAAACTGTCTTAAGTATAGTTTTAAGATATCATAAGTCAATCAGGATTTACTTACCTCTATTTTGATGAAGACGTATGACAATTGTGGCCTGAGAGAATGATACAAATCTACAATATAATTTAGAATAGCAGAGCTTCCATTAACACAACTTTGTCAATATATTTTTCTTGTATTTTAAAATGCTCATTAAGATGCTTATTATTAAATTGACAATCAATGTATCTCCACAATATATTTTTCTAATGTCTATTTCTATCAATGTAATTTGATTTTAATCTCAGTTCAACTCATCATTTTTAATTTTATTTAATTTTTAATTCATATTACATTTTTCTAATTCTAAAAATTAGAAAAAGATAGAGAGTTAGTTGAACTGAAATTAAAATTAATTTATATTATTAATAGAAACAGACAAGAGATGTTCTCAGGACATCATTAGAACTGTGTTGTGTGATTAATCTGTCAAGTTATTTTCAGCTTCGGTTTGATTAAAAATTCTTTTAAGTTTAATAAACTGAATAGATGTGCAGTTTACAGAACTGAAAAATGTATTTGCAAATTGGTATATAATTCATCGTCAAGAGTACCAAGATTTATTTTCGACTGCAAATAAGATTTCTCTTATTTAATCCATCAATAGATTCATCGCTATCATAATATATATATATATATATTATGTATATATATATATACACATAAAACTTTGCTAAATAAACACATCACTA